TTTAAAATAAAAGAATGATGTCTTCCACCTTTAAAACAGTCTACGGAGGCACCGATGTCCTTTGCTGTAACTTTGTAACACAGTGACTGAACAGCAAGGTTCAGTATCATATCAGGGAAGAGCAAACATGTGAAATGGTCAACAGTCTGCAGGTTATTTCTAGATCGTTGCGTCCAGTGGTTTCACTGATTATCTTGCAAACACTAAGGAGTCTGTAACACTGTATGCCGCATTTATTTTACCTCACAATCTGTCCTCATAGAATTGGCCTCATTGTTTTCAAAGAAAGCAACCAAATGTGTGAAATAGCCTTGCAAGTTCATGGTATTTTAAAGTTGTATTTCTGAACAAGGATTCATAACTTCCAAAATGACCAATGAACAAAAAACTAAAATACAATTTTAGTATTTTCCTAAAACTGATTTGCTCCTCTTACACACATGTAGCACATGAACTGGAAATACTGCAGCAGGCTTTGTAATCTAATATGTCTGAAGTGGGCCTGGTGATGACAGAGACTATTAAGTCTTAAATGATTCTTGGTGGATCTTCAACCTCCCTTCTCACGCTTCGATGTTACCAAACAAAGGCATCTCCAGTTTGACGAAATCAGTGCCTCCTTCACCAGAGCACCTGCTCCAGACTGCAGATCCACTTTGTTCCAACATACCAGGCAGTCCTTCAATCAACCGCAGGATGACCTGCCAGATGTGCCATGGCCTGAGTCATCTCCTCCACTGTATCTCCATCAAGTTGGTGAGGCATTCCCTCCGCCACTGCCGCCAATGTCATAACTCCCTCCCCTCAGTGCAGAAGCTCCGGACTCTCGGCTGAGGATCCCACCTCAAAAGCATCCTCAAGCCCCATTTGTTACTGAGCTGACTGATCGTATCGAGAGCCTGAACCTAAAGCCTGATTATGGCACCAGTCAGAGTGGTTGGAGTACAAAGTCTGCATTTAAGAGGATGACATACAAACCCATCACTCCTGGTCAATGCAAGAGGAGCGACCAGACCATCAGAGAGACGTCAAAGACAAACAGAAATTTGCAGCATGCTTCATTACAGTCCTGCTTGGCTATGACCCTCCAGCAAAGGAAGCAGAGCTGCCTACAAAACCCCAGATAAACAAACCAGAGAAGCCCAAGAAGAATTCTTTACTGTCACAATGTTCAGCATTACTTCAATCAATTCAGGAAAATTCAGAAAAGATCAGAAGGTGACGTGAATCAAAACGGGAAAGCAGTGCTGGAGATCACCAAGTGCTATCTCAAAGCCAAATGTCAGCAGTGCAATCAGACACATTTGGGTATACTGCATGATGTCAATTCATCAACATCTATTAGACCAGAACAGACCAGACCACCCGACATCTTGGTCCCAAATGCTGGAGCCAAGGTCCACCATTCTTGCTGCAGAATGAAGCATCCTGGCCTGCATCTCCAGACATCTCCTCATCTGATGATCCAGCTGAACTGCGTAAAACCAACTTCTGTCGTCATCTCTCTGTGACTTCTGATCCATGTCAGTGACTTCAACAACTTCAGTGAGCTGCTTGAGGCTTATGTTCAAGGACGTCATGGAGCAGCTACGGCCTCCGATCTTACTGCAGATGACTACAAGAAAGCTGAACTGGTCCTCTTCAGGAAAGTACAGAGAGACTGTTTCCCTGAAGAATTTGCTCTCTTGGCATTCCAGAAACCAGTACCAACAAGCTGTAGATTATTCACTTTGGCACCTGAGTATGACAGAAACCCAGCTGGGCTTCGCAGATGCGATGACCTCTGCCAAGATACCCTCCATCCAGTTGTACTTGACCATCTTGTACCCATTTTTGTTCTTTCAAGACTGTGACAGCCAGCTTGCTCACCCAGGACCTAAGAGTCTTCGCTGAGCTATGCAGACGATTTTGGTTTCTTCGTGAGGGCGCAGCAACGCAGTTATTCCTCTAATGGCCGACCTTCCACCCTCCAGCTTACAGCTTCAATGTCCTGCATTATATTCCACGCATGTGGACTGTTTCAGGCCTTACCTTGCCAAGATTGGGCTGCGCACAGAGAAACGATGAGGCATAGTACTCAAATGCCTAACAACTCATGCCATGCACCTTCATCTGCTAGCCAGTATGGATACTGACTCATTTTTGAAGGGACCGCTGCAAGTTTTGGGACTTTTATTGCTATTCACAGCAGAAGTTTTTGGACTTCACACACTGTTGCAGCTCTGGGACTGCATTCCTCGTTTATGTTTGATAATTTACTCCTGTGTGTCCATGAGAACGTGAGTAATTAATTATTCTGTTAATTATTGTAGGTCAGTTGTATTTTGAGTTTGTTATGTTCAGAGCTTAAGTTACGTCTGTTTGTTTGACCTCTTTTAAGGGCCCAAACTTTATCTTTATTTTGTTGTAATGATTTTTTGGTAAAATAAAAACCTTTCCTTTTTGAAATTGTCTTGTGACTCCTCTTGCCTAACTGCTTGGTCCCTCACATATGGTGGCAGTGGTGGGATCATCCAGTTGAGGAATACAGGTTTTTTTTTTCTTTTTGCATTTTTTCGCCATTTTGGGTTTTCCTCCATTTTGTGAAGCATGCGAGGAGGGAGAGTGCGAGGAGGGAGATTGACAAAAGGGGTTGGTCAGAGAATAAGGAGACTGAGTCAACCCATACAGAGAGAGGACACCGGGTGGACGGTGAGGACACGATGGAAGGTGAAGCATTAAATGGAGCATCGAACGCTGAGGATGAAAATGGCAGAGAGCCAACGCTGAGTGACCTGGCAGGGATCATGCGCTCATTTGTGGGTCAACAGGAGGCCCGGGAAGCAAAATTGAGAGAGGAAGCCAACTGCCAGGAGTACCAGTTCAAGGCACTACAACAACAGTTTCGCCTTTTGCAACAAGAGGTATAGGTTCGCACATCTCCAGTCCCAGAGCCTGCTTCCACAGTGCCGGATCCCTCTGAGGACTATGATTTGAATGAGAATCATCCAAAAGCC